AAAATAAAAATTTATATATAACGTAACTACTTTAAAAGAGATAAGGAAAATAAAATTATTAAAAGTAAACTCTCCAAATTAGATTTTATTAGTTAATTTTTTTTCATATAATGTTTTTATAAACATAAAATTATTGAATTAAGTGGGACCATTTAAATACCCTTTTCTTTTTTCATCTTTATTTTTGTCTCTCCATTTTTGTCTCTCCACGGCTGAGAAGCAACAATTTTGAGCTTCTCATTCAATTTGACTTTTTCATGAGAAGCCTATCTACTCCACTGTGATCCCAAAGAATAAAATTTAGGTAGAAGTTCGTTTGAGCTTTCAAATGAGCATTTGGTATCGTGCAATGTGATCCCAAACACGCTCTAAGGTGTAAATGGCTTAAATGGTGAGACCGGAACACAAAATTCTTTCATGCGTCCACCGTAATCAAAAGAAAGAAACAGAAATTTCTCTCTCTTTAGGATGATGTTGGAAACTAGGTGAGAGATCCCCAACAACTCAGTCAACTGGCTTGTAATTTCTTCAAAACTTTATATACCAAGAATGACTGTGTTGCAAGTCTAGTGGGATGGTGCTCTAAATTTCCACATCTAACTACTCTGGAACTAAATAGAATTTCTAGATTAGTGACATACATAGAAATTAAAAATACAGTTTCTGATATGGGAGCCTTCAAAGCTCTGGGGCCGGATGGACTACAAGTGCACTTCTTCCAAAGTCAATGGAACCACATTGGAGGGAAAACCTACAATATGGTGAAAGACTTCTTCCAATCCCCAAGCAAAGTGAAAGAGATTAATTAGACTAAAGTGGTCCTTATACCAAAAGTAGAGTACCTTACTAGGATCAAGGATTTTAGACCAATATCCCTATATAATGTTAGGTTCAAAATTGTCACGTAACTTCTAGCCAATAGGTTGAAAGATGTGATGGACAAGCTTATTAGCCGAGAACAACGCAGCTTCATTGCGAATTGATCTAGCTGTGATAATTATTATAGTGCAAGAGGCAATTCACACTATGAGGAAGAAAGGAAGAAAGAAAGGTTACGTAGCTATCAAACTTGATATGGAAAAGGCATATGACCATCTTGACTGGAATTTTATTAACCACACCTTTGTTTGTTTGAAGCTGGATAGGAGAATCATTAAGCACATGGAATGGGGAAGAAGGACCACAATTTAAACCGTCTCGAGGCATTCATCAGGGTGACCCTCTAAGCCCATACATCTTTGAGCTATGTACGGAGAGACTAGGACACTTGACCAGGGAGGAATGTAAGGCAAAGAGGTGGCACCCCCTTAAGTTGAGTAGCAGAGGGTTGTGCATATCACATCTTTTCTTTACAGATGACCTAATTTTTTTTACTAAAGCAACCAATGATCAGATGCTAGAAGTGAAAAGAATAATGGCTGGCTTTTGTAATGTTTGTGGACATCGTGTCAGCCTTGAAAAATCCAAGATGTTTTGCTCCAGAAATATTCATTTTAGTATAGCAATGGAACTCAGTCAAGCTCCAGGCCTTGGGATTACTCCTGATTTGGGGAAATACCTAGGAGTGCCTCTTTTTCATGAGAGAGTAAAAAAGGCTACCTTCTCTCCTATTATTCAGAATTGTCAAAGAAGACTCTCCTCTTTGAAAGGTAGATTTTTAAATATGGTAGGTAGAACGGTGCTTGTTAAATCTGTCTTGTTTGCTCTACCAAGCGATCAAATGCAATTTGTGATGCTACCTCTTGGCACTCTAGTTGAGATGGAAAAAATAAACAGAAGTTTTATTTGGTCACATGAAGAGGATGTCAGAAAGTCACACTTGATCTCCTGGGACAAAATTACCTCAACCTAGCAGGAGGGTAGGCTAGGAGTTAAAAAACCTTACTGCACTGATCAAAGCCTTTATAACGAAACTATGTTGGGGTCTATTAACCAAACGAAGTCTCTATGGCCGCAGTGCTCGAGAGCCAAGTATAATTGTGGCGATGGTGAAATACCAAATGTGTACAAACAACCAAATGCTTCCAGGACGTGGAAGTCCATAGTGGGAGTTTGGGAGCTGTTCATTTCAAAGATTGGAAAGAGAATCATTAATGGAGAAAACACCAGCTTTTGGTGGGACTTGTTGACCCCTCTCGATCGCCCTCTCATCTCATAGGTACACTACTTAGACAGTATAAACAACAATCATACCATTAAGGATTAGTTCAACGAAAATGGGGAATGGAATGCCGATCTCTGGAGGGGAATATTACTAGAATGAGTGATCAAAAAAATCCTCAAAATACCACCACCCCCCATGGGTAATGCAAAAGGTTGTTTTTGGTGGAGACCGGCAAAAGATGGTAATTTCTCTATCAAATCATCCTATGACTCAATTATGAGCAAAGAAGGGATGTATCAATCCAGCTTATGGGGGGAGTTATGGAAATGGCCGGTACATAAAAACATCGAGTTTTTCACGTGGCAAGTATTCCATGAGAGACTTTCTACTAACTTGCTTAGAGCCAAGAGAGGTCTTGCTAATTCAAATGAGTGTTCCTTCCTTTGTAACAATGAAGAGAGTGTCCTACATATCTTGAGAGACTGTCAAAGAGCAAGAGAGGCGCGGACTCTATTTTTAAATGCTAACCTTTTCTCTAGTTTTTTCTCTGGTAACTTGCAGGTTTGGCTTTGATGGAACAAAAGGAATTGCCCACGACGAGGAGAATTTAGAAATCACGACTGGATTAAAATCTTCTGCTTCGTCTGCTGGACATTATAGTCCTTGAGATGCACCTTTGTCTTCGAAGGGAAAAAGGGGACTTCGAGAGAACTCAAACATAAAATCCAATATCTGCTAACAGAAGAAGCTATTGGAGATCAATTAGGCATCAAGTCTTCAAATTCCTAGAGAGAGAAGAGAGGACTTGGACAACCCCACTGCAGGGAACCATAAGCATTGATGTGGATGGATCGGTCCGAGACAACATGCAAGCTGCTTGTGGAGGATGCATCAGAAATAGTGCAGGGGATTGGCTGATGGGATTCTAGAAAAGCATTGGCCTATGCTCCATCATTGAAGCTGAGTTGGTCGCGATTCGCACAGGTTTGGAGATTGGGAAGTAGTTAGGCTACCTCAACATGAGGATCTATACAAACTCAATGGATGCGTTTAATATGATTACTAGAGACTACTCTTTAGATTGTCCTTTAAGATCCATTACTGCCGACATCAGGGATCGAATATTTGACCAAGAAGTGGAATTTCATCACACCAGAAGGGATGTTATCAGATGTGCCGATTATCTGGCCAAGACAGGACATGGAATGGGCTTTCATACAAAGCTCCTCAAGGACGTGCTAGAGGGATGTACTGACCTCTTTCTGCAAGATAAGTCGAATGGCTATGCTTACTAGCCTTGTCGAACGTATTGGGATGATCGTCTAATCCCCCGCTTTTGTTTTTTCTTTTCCTTTCTTTTCTTTTCCAAGCTTAACTTGTCACTAACTGTTTGAAAAAAAAATATAATCTTCCGGTTCTTAATATAGGACCCAATTGTTAAGTTGGTTTTGGTCCTAAATATAAGACCCATTTCTCATATTTATCAATTTTCTCTAAATTACCCCTATAGATACTCTCTCAACCATAATCAAGGAAAAGAGGGAGATGAGGTATTAAGAAAGATAATTATAGTGTTTTAGGAAAAATGTGTCACATTTCTTATAATTAACTAACTTATCTAACTTCATTAATCTAATCAAATTTGTTAAATATGTCTTATATTAAGGACTGGAGGAGTACCTTTTATTGTGGTTTTTACAGGATATTTCTAGCATGTTCACGCACCTTAATTCCCATTGTTAAATAGTTAAAGTTATATAAAATACAAAAATTTCATGTTTTATCTTAATTAAAGAGTTGTAAAAGTTCTTTTTAAAATTTACGGTATCACCATTGAAAATTGAAGAACAAAAATAAATAATCATTAAAATGCTTTTATATAATGCTCTATAATTTGAATTAAAAAAAAGTCTTGTAGAAAAGACTTTATATACAAGATAGGAAATTTTAATATGTAAGTCCCTAAAATTTTGTCTTTTTAATAACGTCTTTATAGTTTTTTTTCTTCCTTTTTATCAAATCCTTGTAATTTCACATGATTTTAATGAGATCTTATAGTTTTTTTTTCTTTTAATCATATCCTTCATTAAGTCCTTATAGTTTCATATGACTTGTTAAAAAAAGCATTTATATAGTTTTTAGTTCCTCATATTTGCTCTCATTTTAATTTTGTTTTTTAAGCTTCTTTTTGTTTTAAACATTCGTCCATATAATTTAATAAAAATTTATATCATTTTGCCCCTTGAGGAACTAAAATTAATTATTTAAAACTTGAGATACTAAAACCAAAACAAGAAGAAATTGGAAAGACTAAAAATTATATTAACCCTTGAAAAAATTATAGGAACTTAATTAAAAATCAGGTGAATCTATAATCACATGATGAAGAGAAAACAAAAATTACACGAATTAGATTAAAAAAACTGCAAAAATATAATTAAAAATAAGATGAAATTACAGGAACATGCAAATTAATTTTATTTAAAAAAATAAAAGGAGCATGTGCATTTACAATCTACCATTTTCTGAGTAACACAGGGTCAATATTTTTTTTTAATCTAATGGTGGCAAAAAAAAAAAAAGCAGGCGGGGGAAAATCACGACTATTTTTTAAATAAAATAAAAAAAACTATATTTCACAAAGAAAAAGAAAGTAAAAACTATTAAAAGGGACGGAGAAACAAAACAAAATTTGAAGGCCACATAAATTGAAGCGGTCCAAAACAAAAGAACCAAATGAATCTTTGAAAGAAGAAATCAAAAACGAGAAAATCATCTTCGGCTCTCCCCACTAAACTACAGACCTCCTCTTCTGTCAGCCACCAAACCCAACGCCGTCTACGTGTTCAATTCCACAACCACTTTTTTTATTTATTTATTTAGGAAAAAAAATCCATCACAATATCAACACAATCTCTCCTAAAAATCCCTCTCTCTCTCTCTCTGTCTCTTCTCTGATTCTCTGGTTCCGATATAGCACTAATATGATTCCAGTGGTGTTGAGCCAGGTGGCCACCGGCCTGAGCGTGCTCGCCGGAGCTGTTCTGGTTAAATCGGTGGTGGACCAGAAGCCCATGGCCGGCCCGTTTCCTCGCTGTCCTTCTTGCAACGGAACCGGTCGAGTTACTTGCCTGTGCTCCCGATGGTCCGACGGCGATTTCGGCTGCAGAGCTTGTGCCGGTTCAGGCCGAATGGCTTGCAGCAGTTGTGGCGGAACCGGAACCGGCCGACCCTTGCCTGCTAGAATCACAGTGCCGTCGCCGGACCGCCCCTCCTAGTTCACCGGTCGGTTCGGTTTTGATGTCGGTACTATTTTTCATGTATAAATTGTCTCGTGTATATATATATATATATATATATAGCTTTGTTTTTGTCCATTTTTATTCTTACTGAAATCTATGTAATATGTTAAGTGCATGACACTTGTGACCCAGAAGAGAGAAGACTGTTATTATCATGTTGTGACTGAGGTTCTTACCAAATCATGCAACTTCTTTGTCCCCCCCCCCCCCCGGGGTAAAAAATCATGCAACTTCATGTGATACATGTAGTCTGATTTGCTTCCAAATTTTGAATTTTTTTTTTGACCTGATTCCAAATTTTGAATTAATACTTTGTATAAATGAGTAGAAGAAATTGCGCGTCAATTATGTGCAATATGCTAGGTGTATTATTAGTATATAGGGTTAATATCAGTATATGATATTCTTTTTGGCTTTGATCATTGAAACCAGTAGTTTTTATTCCATCAAATTTGCCTCATTTTAGCTAGTTTTAATCTTCAAAATTTGAAGGTAGTGATTTTGATTCATGAAATATGACTTTATTTTGATTTTGGTTTTTATCTAAAGATCAAAAACGTTGTTCCAATTACTAAAATTCTTTAAGCAGATAAAAATGAAATCAAATTTAATGTCAAATTTGAAACTAATGGTTTTGCCATTTTGGTCACTGAATTTTGACATCATTTTAGCTTTGATGTTTAAAATTTGATACAAGTGATTTAATCGGGTTATGAAATATGACTTTATTTTTGTTTTGATTCTTGTTGTAGGAACTAAAAAACACTATTTGATAATCCAAAACTAAATGAGGCCAAATTTTAGGAGTAAAAATAAGATGAGATTATATTTCAAGGACTAAAAACTGGTATTAACTATAGTATGTAATTAATCATGTAGTATGTTCAATATTAAATATATATATACATATATAATATTCAATTAATATTGTTGGCTAGATTTAAGCATTATCCTCGATCTAAATAATTCATCTAACATTATTTTAACTTTTACAAAGCTTAAATTCCAAACCCAAAAGCATTTTTTTTTAAAAAGTATTCTTTTCACATATCTATCTCTTATACTATGAAATTACTTTTAAAATTGTGGTTTGATTCCAGCCAAACAGCCAGTTGACTCCATCGGTTAATTTTGTTTTGGTTTTATAATTTATACTAATTATTCAAAAATATATGATTTAGCATTATAATAATGAGATTTGATTTATCATTATAATAATGTGATTTGAACACAACATTCTTGTCCAGTTTCTGTTGCTCATTGTGGAGGTAATAGCACACTTGCCTTCAAAATCGTGAATTCTGGTGTTAAATAAACTCGTGCAACTATTTGTTTGTCTGGTTGTTCATATTGGTTTAGAGATGAAGCATGGCAATAAATCCTGTCCATACGACATTGTTTATTGGGACACAGGAACCCGATAACACATAAAATGTAAAAAAAAAATTTATTAATTACTACTGGTTTCTAATATAAAAATTAGATAAATAATTTAAAATTTTAAAAAAACTAGTTAAATTAGTCATTTGTCACAAATATTTGTTGATATCGTTAAACTATGTTTTTTAATTATGTGCATTTGAGAGATTAAAATTATTTTTTAGTGGGAATCTCTTATAATCAATAGATATATTTTGAAAAAAAAAGAAGATAAAATGAATTAACATTTTATATTTAAGACTAAATAAAATTTCTAAGTTCTTGTATTAAGAAATACTCGTAATAAAATATAATGATGCAATCAATAACCAGACTCCTAAATTCTCTGCTGTATTAGTTCTTTTAAGGAACCAAATGAGTCACATCAAAAGCTGCATTTAAACCCACGTTTTATAAAGCTTCAGTCTATTTAACTTAAATTATGGGGGTCTCTTTTATTTTGAAAACTCCTGTGAACCTCCTTTAAAGTGAAAAGTATAAGTTTCACAAATTTTTTTTTTTTTTTAGTTTTGAGATTTAACTTTCATCCACTTAACTATTAGATGAGCATCAAATTATAGTATTGACTTATTATTTTGATCAAAATGCCTCTTCTTAATGCAAATGTTACACAATAATTACCATTTAATCATATATGACATATCTTTATCCGAAATCAAAAAATAATTTTAATACATATTTTAATATTTGTAGCATATTATTAAATAGATTACCATATTACAAATTTTGATTAATTTTATGAATATAAATTTTTATTTTTCAATAAATTTAAATTTTTAATCTCATTTATTGATTAAAACTTACTTGTGATGTAATCCCCTAAGTATATATTGAAATGAAAATGTTTTGCAATCGTATGTCTTTGTAATTATATTATAAATTTATAACATATTTATAATAAAAATTTCCAAATATAATTTATAAAACATATATTTGTTAAAAAATTATTCAAATTTTCGATTAAGTTATTCTTATCATAAGTTACTCAAATTTTGTCTAAATTTACTAAACAGATCAATGATAAATGTTAATATTAAAAGATAAATTAGAGATTTGGTATAATGAGGGGTAAATTGGTCGGTAAACAAGACTTATTCTAATATGATTTTTAATTAAAAAACATATTCCAAGAATATTTGAGAATGTTTATTAACAGTGTTAATGAGGAGATCTATATAATCAAGCTAAAACAGAAGGGTTGTTAAAGTATTTTACTCAAAAAAATACTCCTCCGATCCTTAATATAGGACCTAATTGTTGAATTAGTTTTGGTTCTAAATATAAGACTAATTTCTCATATTTTTTGGTCCTAAAAATACTCCTCCGGTCTTTAATATTCTCTCAACCATAATCAAGTAGAAGAGGAAGAGAGGGTATTAAGAAAGATGACTATGGTATTTTAGAAAAAACGTGTCATATTTCTTATAATTAACTAATTTACCTAACTTTCTTAATCTAATCAAATTAATTAAATGAGTCTTATATTAATGATCGGAAGAGTACTATCTTAGATAAAAGAACTAGTTGAAAAATTAATTTGGTACTAAATATAAAACTTCAATTCACACTATCTCCCGTATTTATTCAATTTTTTTTTTCAAAATAGTCTTTGTATTGTGAAAATAGTTTTTATATTAATTGTACATGTTAAAGTGTCTCCATTTAAATGCATATAATTAACAAAGATATTTTAGGAAAACAACACAAATTTATTACAAATAACTAATTTAACTAATTTTTTTATTATTTACAAATTAAATATCTAGCTGGGAAATGGTAACAATTTCTATTTGCCATGTCAGTCCATCCTTATTTGTTAATGAAAGCATGTGGCTGCAATCGGTGTTTCTATTCTAGAATTACAAGTCCCAAAAATCCTCATCAGAGGGAAAATTTGGGTGTGGTGCTGCTTGACCTTAATTAAGCCGATTTTATAATTTGGAAGCTAATCTACCAAAGCAATAATAAATGATTATTAGGCATATAATAAGTTCAAGCAAACCAAAGAAAAAATTTATCTTCTTATTTAATAATTCAAATTGTTTCACTAATTTAATAAAGAAATAACAGAACTTATAACGTAACTTGTACGAGGATTATCAATAAAGATATCGAACCATTATGAAAAACTTGTGCTCTTTATGGGACTTTCAGTGCTAAGTTATGTTCATTTCTTTTCTTTTCTTTTTTTTCTTTCTTTCTTTTCAAGTCACATGTATTTATGGTAAACTCCTATGAAAAAGCATAATATATGGTTCGAGTTGTTTTCTAGAGCACTGTTATTAAGAATTATTCCGCCATACAAAGTAAAAATAGAAGACAACATTTTTTTTTGGATTAAATGAACCTTTTCTACCATCTGCAGAAAAAAGGGTACCATAACACTAGAAATCGAATACTTAACAATGTTTATTATCCAATTCAGATGATAGAATAATCAAAATTTTGCTACCTTTAGGAAGCTTCAAAGTATATCGTTTATCTTAATTTTTTTAGCAATTTCATTCTCGGCCACTAGCTTCCCGTATAAAGCTAGCAAACTAATTGAATCACGATCAAAAGCAACGCAAAAATGCAATTAAACTCCCACCAGTTGCTTAAGAGACAAATTATTATTATTTCTGAAAGTTTATCTCAGAAAAACTTATAAAAACAGTGGGGGGGAAAAAAAGAAATTATGAACAGACTTGTATATTTTGTTGCGGCCCACAAGTCTACCTTCCAACTTAAAATCGTCAAGCTTGGTAGTTGTGTGTCATGTTCTGGGGTAAATTAGTCTAAATGGTTTCGTGTTTACATTTTGTGAATTAGATGTGAGTTTAATTATTTTCAGTTTTGTGCGTGTGAAGATTTACTACTAAAATATTTTTGCACCTATGTGATACAGATCACCTCAACATGGAATGATTCAACATCAAAGAAAATCAGTTCATCCTCCAAGCTTTTATATTTTATAAATAAGTTTTTATCCAAAATCTAATCATCTCATCCCACTACTAATCCTAGCACAAACCTTATTATGGCAATATTTCATAATCTTCATTCAAACCCCTATATCTCACTTGCTGTTGAAGCTCTTTTTCTTGAAATACAACGTGGAGGCAAAAAGCCTAAAATCAAACTCAACGACTATTTTTTGTAAAGCCTCAAGAGACCACAAGAGAGGTCATTTTTCATTATGACTTTGCACTCAAATGAACGTTACTAAGAATTCGATAATTAATTTACAAATATTAAAAAAATTGTTTAAATTCGTTAGTTTTAATAAATGACTATTGTCTTCCTTAATACCTCTATCAATCATATGCATTAAAATTACCAACATGAGCACTCAGCATGGGGACTAAAAACTACTTGGGACAAAATAAATAAATATTAAAAACCAAGTACGGGCAATTCCCGCTGATATAAATATTGGCTTCTCTAAAGATATTTATATTATCCAGTGTAAAAAGTGTTTATAAACCCACCATTTGCTCATTAAACCCACCTCCAAAAGAACACAACTTTCTTTCCTCTGTCCAAATCTCAGATTTCTTTTGCCCATATTGAAGATGTGTTGAGGATCTTCATTTTCCGAAGTTCTTGTAATCACGTGATGAAGGTGAAATTTTCAATCCCAAACCTTCTTGACAGTGCCCAAAACAACCTGATCAGTTCACTCGAATTAAGTGAAGCTTTGTCTGCTAGGAGTTTTGGCAAATCTGAAGCATTACATTCATGAATGATGGAGAGATGGAAGGGTGGACTTCCACCCACTTCCTATTTTGCTGTCCTTTTGAAAATGACCAGACCAGCGTATGATCAGGGTCAGAGACACATTGGATGTTAGACAAACAATTTTAGAAAAAACGTGTCATATTTCTTATAAATTAACTATTACCTAACTTTCTAATCTAATCAAATTATTAAATGAGTCTTATATTAATGATCGGAAGAGTCCTATCCTAGATAAAAAAAGAACTAGTTTGAAAATTAATTTGGTACTAAATATAAAACTTCAATTCACACTATCTCCTCCGTATTTATTCAATTTTTTTTTTCAAAATAGTCTTTGTATTGTGAAAATAGTTTTTATATTAATTGTACATGTTAAAGTGTCTCCATTTAAATGCATATAATTAACAAAGATATTTTAGGAAAACAACACAAATTTATTACAAATAACTAATTTAACTAATTTTTTTATATTTACAAATTAAATATCTAGCTGGGAAATGGTAACAATTTCTATTTGCCATGTCAGTCCATCCTTATTTGTTATGAAAGCATGTGGCTGCAATCGGTGTTTCTATTCTAGAATTACAAGTCCCAAAAATCCTCATCAGAGGGAAATTTTGGGTGTGGTGCTGCTTGACCTTAATTAAGCCGATTTTATAATTGGGAAGCTAATCTACCAAAGCAATAATAAATGATTATTAGGCATATAATAAGTTCAAGCAAACCAAAGAAAAAATTTATCTTCTTATTTAATAATTCAAATTGTTTCACTAATTTAATAAAGAAATAACAGAACTTATAACGTAACTTGTACGAGGATTATCAATAAAGATATCGAACCATTATGAAAAACTTGTGCTCTTTATGGGACTTTCAGTGCTAAGTTATGTTCATTTCTTTTCTTTTCTTTTTTTTCTTTCTTTCTTTTCAAGTCACATGTATTTATGGTAAACTCCTATGAAAAAGCATAATATATGGTTCGAGTTGTTTTCTAGAGCACTGTTATTAAGAATTATTCCGCCATACAAAGTAAAAATAGAAGACAACATTTTTTTTGGATTAAATGAACCTTTTCTACCATCTGCAGAAAAAAGGGTACCATAACACTAGAAATCGAATACTTAACAATGTTTATTATCCAATTCAGATGATAGAATAATCAAAATTTTGCTACCTTTAGGAAGCTTCAAAGTATATCGTTTATCTTAATTTTTTTAGCAATTTCATTCTCGGCCACTAGCTTCCCGTATAAAGCTAGCAAACTAATTGAATCACGATCAAAAGCAACGCAAAATGCAATTAAACTCCCACCAGTTGCTTAAGAGACAAATTATTATTATTTCTGAAAGTTTATCTCAGAAAACTTATAAAAACAGTGGGGGGGAAAAAAAGAAATTATGAACAGACTTGTATATTTTGTTGCGGCCCACAAGTCTACCTTCCAACTTAAAATCGTCAAGCTTGGTAGTTGTGTGTCATGTTCTGGGGTAAATTAGTCTAAATGGTTTCGTGTTTACATTTTGTGAATTAGATGTGAGTTTAATTATTTTCAGTTTTGTGCGTGTGAAGATTTACTACTAAAATATTTTTGCACCTATGTGATACAGATCACCTCAACATGGAATGATTCAACATCAAAGAAAATCAGTTCATCATCCAAGCTTTTATATTTTATAAATAAGTTTTTATCCAAAATCTAATCATCTCATCCCACTACTAATCCTAGCACAAACCTTATTATGGCAATATTTCATAATCTTCATTCAAACCCCTATATCTCACTTGCTGTTGAAGCTCTTTTTCTTGAAATACAACGTGGAGGCAAAAAGCCTAAAATCAAACTCAACGACTATTTTTTGTAAAGCCTCAAGAGACCACAAGAGAGGTCATTTTTCATTATGACTTTGCACTCAAAATGAACGTTACTAAGAATTCGATAATTAATTTACAAATATTAAAAAAATTGTTTAAATTCGTTAGTTTTAATAAATGACTATTGTCTTCCATTAAAATACCTCTATCAATCATATGCATTAAAATTACCAACATGAGCACTCAGCATGGGGACTAAAAACTACTTGGGACAAAATAAATAAATATTAAAAACCAAGTACGGGCAATTCCCGCTGATATAAATATGGCTTCTCTAAAGATATTTATATTATCCAGTGTAAAAAGTGTTTTATAAACCCACCATTTGCTCATTAAACCCACCTCCAAAAGAACACAACTTTCTTTCCTCTGTCCAAATCTCAGATTTCTTTTGCCCATATTGAAGATGTGTTGAGGATCTTCATTTTCCGAAGTTCTTGTAATCACGTGATGAAGGTGAAATTTTCAATCCCAAACCTTCTTGACAGTGCCCAAAACAACCTGATCAGTTCACTCGAATTAAGTGAAGCTTTGTCTGCTAGGAGTTTTGGCAAATCTGAAGCATTACATTCATGAATGATGGAGAGATGGAAGGGTGGACTTCCACCCACTTCCTATTTTGCTGTCCTTTTGAAAATGACCAGACCAGCGTATGATCAGGGTCAGAGACACATTGGATGTTAGACAAACATCTGTCAAGATTTATTGCCTCCAAGCCACATATCGCTTAGGCATTTTGTTGAAACAATGTGGGTTGTACACGTCTATAGAGAACTCTTTACTGTTCTATAGGATACAATCATATAAAGACACTAAAACCCAGACCCGTTCCGCTATTAGAGAACATGCCACTTTGTGTTTTCTGTTTCATACCAAGAGGGTAGATTATCTCCCCAGTGATTCCACCCTTTCTTCCACACCCCCCCCCCCCCCCCCCAAAAAAAAGAAAAAAAAAAAGGAACAAGCACTAACATCCTGAGATTAAAACGAGGATCGAACTCACAATCTCCCACATTTCCTTGATGGTGCATACAGTGTGGAAGAGTTCTTGCCTCGTGTGGAGTGTCCTAAGGAATCTTCCTCACTCAAGTTTCCTTCTAATCAGTCCCTTGAAGAAATCAAAGCTACATCCACAAAAGAGGAATAGGCATTAAGTTATAACGAGACACAACAATAACTAGTCTGAAATTTCAAATTTGTCCATGATTTCATAACCCAGCGACATGAAAACTTCTCTACAAGTAGTGGGTTTGATCTTTCTTATAATCTCAGACTATAAATACATACTCCTCCGATTGAAACTATAGCTTGTATGAAATTTACATGACTACAAAATCTCACAAGCCTCACCATTCATATCTATAATTTCATTTTCACAAGTCATACAACTGTTGCTCACACTGGCAGACGTGCTTTTCATCATTTTATTATTAATTTAATTCCTTTACCTCCTCTCTACTTTTTTTTCCCCTCCAACTACTTCAATTGAAGTTGAACTTGAATTTTAATCTTATCACCTAAATTTTTATTCAAATCAATATATTCTCAGACAAAGAATGTTTATCAGGAAATTCTTTATCTCATGTATATAGCGAAAATAAATAAAAATATTGTGTTCATTGATTGTAAAAATAATACTCTCTCTATCTCTCTCTCGTAAGAGATGTTTAAATTTTACCACGCATTATTTTGTTTTAAGAAATAATATACTATTTTCTAACAATTTTTTAAAATTACAGATTTTTTTCTAAAATACTTTCAATTTATAATTTGTATCTTATGTAACAAGCATTAACTATGCCTTTGGCTAACATAAATACTTACTTTTTAATATATGGAATAAACCATGGCTAAAAACTTTAAAAAAAATCTAATAAAAATATTTTTATTGGGCAAATTTTTATGGAGAATGTATAATTAAACATCTTTCAACTAAAGAAAGAGTAATTTGCCCTTATTGATAAAATTGTTTATTTAATTATTCTGAGTTATCCTGAAAACAATGCTGAATTCTGGCCCTTGGACTCTTGAATTTTACTCTGAATAGGTTATCAAAAGCAATAGTCAAAAGCTATTCATTACCTATTGCCATCAGGATGGAGCTCACACATTTGATTATCATCGCCAACAGCCAACAAGTAACCTGAGGATGTTAAACCCTACATAATATTGAAAAAAAAAAAATTTAGATGATAGGAATAAGACAACTATATCTAGAAGAATGAAGATGAACTTGCGAGGCAAAGATGCTCATATTTGCCATACCTGAATGGTTACCACATGTTCAATCACTTTGTCCTCGTTCTTTTCTTGCACAATAACTCTCTGTCCACTGCATGACATTTTGCATATTCAAATTACTCAAACTAAATAATTCCACAAATATGAGTGTTGATTCATACAGCATAACATCAAAAGCCTAAGCTAATTAGATTCAGTATAGTCGAGTTCAGCTTTGAGATATACGACAAGGGATACAGATGCCAGTTCAACTCTTTTATGGTCAGGTTATCATGCTTAAAGGACATGAAAAGTTAATTACCAAATATTTCGAAGGCTCATATTATTCAATTGGAAAAAAATCACTCCTCCTCCAAACATCTATATTTTACAAAATTTTTGTTCAAATGAAGTACCAGGACCCCATCTAGCAGATCCACAGAAAATGGATGTGCCAAGTTCAAAGGTATTGCAGGATAGAAATATTATTAGTTTTGATTTCTTTCATATTCTATATAGCCATACACATTCATTTACAAGAATCAATATTAGTCATCCAGAAAGCTAACAGAAAAATGAAAATTTCCAGATTGACAATTCTCTGTTTTGAGGATGGAATGCTGGCACAAACTGTTATCACATTTTTGCCAATATGCTAAAGTTTGCAGCCTCAAAACCGCTTCTCATTTCTCTTTCAACTGAAACCATAATAAAGCAATCATATGCACATATCCTCATTAGGATTAGGTCCCGCCTGAATCTCCATATTACATTTCATCTACAATTAATACTTGCAAGAAAAATTCTATGCATTTAGCATGCAAGCCACAAGTTTAAGACGAAAACGGCTATTGTAGCCAGTAGCAAACTTTCCTTCAAATATTATCCACAGGTGACCTACAGATGAGAATGACTAAGAGTGTGTAAAATCCACGTCACCTGTGCAACCAAGTCTTATAATATAGCTGCTCCAGGGTTTGGAATCCTGCATCACATGGAGCGAGTGAACTTGACAACACACCAATACGAAGTTCTCCAAATTATTGATTTGTTATCAGTTTCTAATTGATAGAGGATAAAGTTGTTGCCACTTCATTATAGTTACTTAATTACTGAAACATTTCTAACAAGAATAAAAACAGAAAACATTTATAAAGGAAAATAGCACGTCATGTTGAATTTTAGGCATACATTATAAAACTTTTCCCTTCTGTCTCTTGAATAGAAGCCAAGATTAACATCTCTGAAAAACAGTCATACCTCTCATGATAAAATTAACCTAACAAGAGGATATGGTTGATACTAAACTCTTAAATGCATCCAAAAGGTATAACAATGTTCAGTGCATAGAATAACAGGTATGTCTTAATATATGAATAACCACACAAAGAGGAAGTGTAAGTTTCTAAAATTCCCATCTCCATCTATGAAAACCCTAATTATATATTTTTAATTTTGATTTCAATCATATAAAAAGATGAATTTTAAAGTATCATCAAATGTCCATCTTTGACAATTCTTTTTGCATAGCCATTGCAATCTGTCATCATTGTTGAAAGGATGGGAATCTGTTATGCAATTATAAAGCATGTTTCCTAATCAATGGTAGTTAAGTGATTAGGCTATGTTTAGTAGTTAGATGCTTCCGTCAGTAGTTGCCTACATAAGGACCATATGCCCAGAATATTGTGTACGTTTTCATTATGAACTGAAGCACTGAATTGTTCAGCATCTCATTTCTGTCTGGTTTCCTTTCTCTCTCTCTTGATTTCCCTGTTCGCCTTCCTTTCTTTTTTCCCTCTTTCTCTTATACAGAATAATTCTGTAACAAATGGTATCCAGAGCCATGGGTTCTCGGCCTTTCCCACCTAAATTTCCAACGTTCTATGACTATTACAAGATCAATTATTGTTGTAAGGTGGCGGACAAATGACTCCAATTCATCAAAGGTCAACTTGGAACAGTCAATACCTTGCAAGAAACAGTTAATGGCATGACAGATTGACTGCAAGTCTTGGCTTGCAGCGTTGAGGAGATTAGAGCAGTCATCACAAACCCAGCTACTAAACATGATCAACCCAGAATTGAAAATTGAAATCATAAGCAAACAAACAAAAAACAGAGAAGTGGGGCAACCTCGACAGATGCGATTTACCAAGATGTTCTTCCTTCGATCTTGAGGTGTGAGAGATATTTCAAACTAGATGGAACCCCAAAAGAGGCGAAAGTCTAGATAGCCAGCATCCACCTTGATGAAGATGCCTTTCAATGGCAGCTAGCATGCAGACAGCGATAGAGCGACCTGCGTTGATAGAGAATTTGCTGTGGGCCAGTGGGTTTTCCAGAAATTACAACCCTATAGACAAATTTCTGCACCGACAAGGAATTCTCAAAAGCTGGCTCCTAGGTATTTTGGGCCTAAAAAGGTCCTAGAAAGGATTGGGAAGGTTGCCTACAAGCTAGAACTTCTTCCATAAACCAGGATTCATTCAGTTTTCCACATTTCAATGCTGAAACTATGTCTTGACCCTTCGGTTAAGCCAAGACATCCACCTATTGATTTTCCTGAGCTGCCTACAGTTCAAGAACCAGAATGGACTTTAAATAAGAGGGTTGACAGGAGGACGCAGATAATTACAGAAATTTTGGTACGATGGAAAGGAAAGCCTGATGAAGAAGCTTCTTGGATGCCTCTATTCCAGTTTCGACAACAATTTCCAGACTTAGTTATACCTGATCCTTAAGGGCAAGGATCTTTTGAAGGGGGTTATGTAATTATAAAGCATGTTTCATAAGCAAGGGTAGTTAAGTCATTAGGTTATGTTCAGTAGTTAGTTACGTTTTATGTTTCCGTTAGTAGTTGCTTATATAAGGACCATGTGTCCAGAGTATTGTGTATGTTTTCGTTATGAATTGAAGTACTGAATTGTTCAGCATCTCTCATTTCTCTTTGGTTTCCTTTCTTTCTCTCTTGATTCCCCTGTTCTCCATCCTTTCTTTTTCCCTCTTTCTCCCTCTTTCTCTCATACAGAATAATAATTCTGTAACAGAATCACGCATTCCACAAATAATTTTAAATTAATAACTCAACTGTGAATCTCTCACGGATGGAAAAGGAGAGCCGAAATTGGGAAGTTTAATTTAGATGTTCACAAGAAAGTACTTGAATTATTCATTAGAATACCTTGATTCACAAAAAGATCATAGAATTTCTCAAATTTACTGAAGAAGGTTGCCAGAACATCTTCTCTTCGAAATTGGTATGCTTTCCTGGACAATTCTCTTACAGCCATATCTAAGCATGTTGTTGGCTTCTCATTGTTGACATTCAACCCAATCCCTGTAAGAGATATGAGTATCTATCTTTATTAAGAGCATAAATTTGGACACATTTTGTGATATCAAGATGACGTTAACAAAACTCAAAGTTTTTTCAAAGAACAGAGATTTGTTAAGAATTTGAAATTAGGGTCATTGGTAAGCGAACGGCCATAATAGAATAGCAATTCAAGAGTATAACTTATTACCTGCACTAACATTAAACTTCTTAGATTTATATGTTGAGGTACATAAAATGCCTCCAACTTTAAGGCCATTTAAGTAGAGATCATTTGGCCACTTAATTTTCACATCAACACTGGGTAAGCCCTGGAGTGGAAAATGTCAAAAAAAAAGAGACATTTAATAGAAGAATCAATCACATATTATTTAAGCATTGCACTAAATCGAGCAAGTAAGATTAAGTGACTAATTTAGCACAAGGAAGATATTTTAAAAAAAAAAATGCAAACTTACTAAATCACTGACCATCCAGTTAATCGTTACTTCATAAAGGAGGAACTTAACCTTTCTCTTCCTTTCAGAAAACTTGCAACAAATGTATGCTTCATCTTTGATGGGTTCCGTGTCACATTCTTATTATATTAAAAAGTAAGATGAATCAAACAGGTCTGACGTTGAGCTAAGAAAAACGAAATCATCCCTAATAACATATTCTCTCAGATATCTATGACTTAGATTTTCCCAGGTTAAAAAAAAAAAAAAAACACCACACACACACAAACACACTAAATATAACAATTAATTTTCTCAAAATGCCAATCATATATAATAGGATATGGCTTGTTGCTCTAAAGAATTGTCTTGAATGGTACTAAATAGAGAAACTCCGCCTATATTGTATAGCCGGTCCCAAGCCCGGATAAAGGAGGGTTGTGTTAGGCCTTCGACAGCCAACGTAAAAACTTGTCGAATCTCATGAACATGGATCAACGAAGTAATTATGCTAATGCTAGGCATTGCCCAGTTTGGATAAAGGAGGAGGGTTGTGTTAGGCCCTCGACAGCCAACGTAAAAACTCGTCGAATCTCATGAATATGGATCAACGAAGTAATTATGCTAATGCTAGGTCATTGCTCAGAAGTGACGCGCTGTATGGCTCGAGTACAGTGAGAAATGAGCTAGAGCCGCTGCATCGTCGCCCGGATGCAATGTTAAATGAGCGAGGGCTACCACACTCTCTTGGACTGAGGCGGCTAAAGAAGTTAGTTCATGAGACTGAGATTAGATTTGGCACTTGGAATATTGGGACGTTGAATGAGAAATCTATGGAAGTAGCAGGAGTTATGAGGGACAGAAGGATTAATATCTTGTGCCTTCAAGAAACCAAATGCACTGGAGAAGCTGGAGCTGCCAAAGAACTTGGAGAGTATAAACTTTGGTATACAGGAAAGGTGAGTGCAAGGAATGGGGTTGGTATCATCGTTGATGAAACATGGAAGAGAAAAGTGGGTAGAGGTTAAAAGGTTTGAAGATAGAATAATATCGTTAAGAGTAATTGTTGAAAAAGATACTATCAATATCATTAGTGCCTTGCACCTCAGGTTGGGACAGAAACACACCTTAAAGATAAGTTTTGGGAAGATATGGAGGGATTGGTTCAAAGCATACCACTCGAAGAAAAAAATTTTATTGGTGGGGACCTTAATGGACATGTTGGTAAGGAAGCAAGACAATTCAGCGGGGCCCATGGTGGTTTTGGTTTTGGGGAGCTTAATATTGGAAGACAATCTATTCTCGACTTTTCTCTTACATATAATCTTAAGATTGTCAACACTTGTTTTAAGAAGTGAGAGGAGCATTTAATGACGTACAAAAGTGGTGTCTCAAAATCACAGATTGATTTCTTTTTGGTTAAGAATCCAAATAGAAGATTGCGTACTAATTGCAAAGTGATTCCAAGAGATGAGGTGACTGCCCAACATAGAGTACTTATTCTTGATGTACGTTTTAAAAGTACCAGGCAAAAGTACCACTAAGTGGTAAAACCCAGGATTAGGTGGTGGCAGTTAAAGGGTGAGAAGCGAGAGTTATTTAAAAGGACCTTTTTAGAGGAAGGGATTTGGGAGTCGCAGGGAAATGCAAACATAATGTGGGAAGAGATAGCTACAAGGGTTCGTTTGGGAGGTAAAACAATTTTGGGAGAATCCAAAGGTCTTGCTCAGAGAGATAAGGAGACTTGGTGGTGGGATAACAGTGTGCAAGAGAAAATCAAACAGAAAAGAGATTATTTTAAGGCCATACACTTGTGCAATAGTGTAGAAAACCAGAAAAAGTATCAATTGGCTAAAAAGAGACGAAGAGAGTAGTGAACGAAACACGTACTAAAAACTTATGAAGGGTTTTATCAGGAGTTAGGAACAAAGACGAGAGAAAGAAATATTTAGAAGATTGCGAAGCAAAGGGAGAGGAAAAAGAGAGATATGGACCAAGTAAAGTGTATAAAGGATGAAGATGGTAAAGTGTTAGTTACTGATGGTGATATTAAGGACAGATGGGAGGCTTACTTTTACAAGTTGTTTAATGAGGAAAACAATTATGCGACTCAGGACTTAGAGGACTTGCTAATTAACGAAGATGATCGAATTTGGCCTTCTATCACAGGATCCGTATTGGAGAGGTTAAGACAGCTCTCAAGAAAATGGACAATGGAAAAGCCGTTGGGCCTAATGGTATCCCTATTGAAATTTGGAAATGTTTGGATGATGAGGGTGAGGTGTGGCTAATCAAACTTTTTAATGAACTTTTACGTTCTAAGAATATGCCGAATAGGTGGAGGAGAAGCATTTTAGTTCCTATGTATAAGAATAAAGGAAACATTCAAAACTGTGCAAGCTACAAAGAGATAAAACTTATGAGTCATACAATGAAGTTGTAGGAAAAAGTGATGAAATATAGGTTGAGGCTGGAGGCTTCTATTTCAGAAAACCAGTTTGGATTTTTCCAGATTTATGGGAGATCCACATCGGAAGCAATCTATTTACTAAGAGGGTTAATGGAAAGATATAGAAGTAAAAGAAGTAAAAGAAGGGATTTACATATGGTTTTTATTGACTTGAAAAAAACTTATGATCGTGTGCCAAGAGAAGTAATGTGGAAGGTTTTGGAAAAGAAAAGTGTACGGGTTGCTTATATTAAAACCATACAAATATGTATGAGGGGGTAACTACCAATGTAATGACGCCTGGAGGTGAGACAAAGGACTTCTCTATTCAGATTGGCCTACATCAGGGATCTTCTTTGAGTCTGTATTTGTTCAACATTGTTCTGAATGTTCTAACTGAACCTATTCAAAAAAGAATCCCTAAGTCCATGTTTTTCGCTGATGATACAATTCTCATGGCGGAATCAAAAGAAGAGATTAACACTAAATTAGAGTTATAGAGAAGGACTTTGGAGTCGAAAGGTTTCCACTTGAGCAAGAACAAAACAGAATATATGCATTGTGATTTTGAGAGGAGACAAAGCAATAGGGATTTGAAGGTGAAGATAGGGGAACAAATCATTCCTCAAGTATCAAAGTTTAAATACCTAGGATCCATTATACAAGAGAATGGGGAAATTGATAGAAACATTTCTTAGAATACAAACTGGTTGGTTAAAGTGGAGGAAAGTTACTGGAGTTATTTGTGATAAGAAGGTACCTGAGAACTTAAAGGAAAATTTTATCAGATTGCTATAAGACCAACTATGTTGTACGGTAGTGAATCTTGAGCAATAAAAGGAAATAAGAGCATAAAGTCGGGGTAGCAGAAATAAGAAATAGGATGTTGAGATGGATGTGTAATCATACAAAAAAAGATAAGATTCGAAATGAAAATATCAGAATAAGAGTCAGTGTGGCACCTATCCAAGAGAAAATGGTTGAAAATCGCTTAAGATGTTTGGACATGGGCAGAGAGAAGGCCATTGAAGGCTCTGGTGAGGAGGGTAGATCAGACAAGATGGAGTCCCATAAAAAGAAACAGAAGAAGATCAAGGAGAACGCTTAATGAAGTCATTGAACGAGACCTCCTAGTCAACAACATATCTAAAGATTGGGTTGTTGATAGAGCATAATGGCGTCGTGTGATTCATGTAGCCGACCCCACCTAGTGGGATAAGGCTTGTTGTTGTTGTTGTTGTTATTGGTACTGAAATAGAGAATACTAAAGTTCAAAAAGTATAGACCAAAGATCAAGTCAACAGGTAAAGATAAAACATTTACATTTTTGTTGCAGACATCCTTTATTGCCTCTGTGATAGCCAGGGAAACAACATATTGTAGTAAAGGAACAACTCGTCCATCTTCCATTTGTAGAGTAAAAGAAAATAAGAGGCAACCCAACGGAGACTCCCACACATTCTTTGACCGACCTGAGATTTTATGGAAATTAAACCATCGCAAACCAACGCAATGAAAATGCAAGCAGATAAGACAGGGAAACACAGTAACACGATCTCAAACCTCGTCCCTTGGTCTGAACATCAGCGACACAAACCGCGCCAATAGGAAGCTCACAAAAGTTGCTGTAGAAAAATATTTTGAAATCATCATCATCAATGTCAATATATATAATAAATGTAAAAAGTTAAAGGAAGCCACTCTCTTCCTAGAGCTGAGATGTGTGGCCTGCTTCCTCTGGCTCCATGTAATGCACAAGGCTGAGAGCTCAGATCCAATTTAAAATAACATGACATTAAATCACATAGAGGATACAAAACATAGGAATGTAACTCTGAAAGACATACTGTGAAACCACATCATGTGTTGAAGACAGCCGTGGGGACCAAATGAGAAACCGGCCAAATTTATGAGTAGAAAGCGAGCTCATGAATAAATCAATTCCAAAGGAGTCTTCTTTGAGAAGTTTATCATCCAGTTCAGAGCGCAAAATAATCGAAATTTCACTGCTGTCAGGAAGCTTCACAGTATTATTCGTCTTAATTGTTTTAGCAATTTCATTCTCGGCCAGTGACTTCCCGCATAAAACCAGCAAACCATCTGAGTTAATGGTTGAAGCTGGAAAAAACGCAGAAAGAAGAGTTCAAACATTAACTATTCAATATGTACGGTTGATTCAATCATCACAGAAAAATCTTGAAACCCAGCAGTAACCTCAAAGACGAATTATTATTTCTGAAAAAATCAGCACCCAAAAAAAAAAAAACTCATGGAAACAGTAAAGAAACAAAATGTGAACAAACCTGTGGGCTCCATCAATGAAGATATGTTGCAGAACCGGATAGTGGAAGCTAATCTTACTTTTGGTAAATAGAAGACGAACGGGGATGCAGAGGGTTCCGCACGAAACGGAGGGAGAGCAGTATTTCATTAATCGCCAGCGGTTGTAAGTATGAATTCTCAAGTCATGTCTCAGAAAATCCTGAGCCTATTCATTGTTCCACGTGTGGTCATCGTAGTCCTGTGATTACTCATAGGTGTCAACTTCGGGATGAACGCCCTTGTCACGTCTAAACTATGTTCAGGATGGGATGAATGCTACGGGAGAAATTCAATTTCAAAAGGAATTAAAAATCAAAACGAAAATTTGAGCAAGGAAAGGGACTCGCCATGTCAAATAATACTCAGTTTAAAATTAATTAAAAACAATAAATATATTAAAAAATATATTTTTTCTCAAATTTGTCTTTTTTTATTAAAAGAGTAAATGAGAGGTAATAAATGAAAAAAAAAATGAAAAGAGAATATATGAATAATAATAATGAGAAAAGAGAAAACTAAATTTGGTCAACTAAGGACAAAATAGAAAAAAAAAAAAAATATTTAGACAAACTCAAAAATAAAACTTATATTTTGGACTAGACTCATCTTCAAAAGTGATGTTTATATATAGCATCGAATGGAGTACAATTTAATTCGAATTTTCTCCCAATATATCATAGGTTAATTTTCTCCCACCTGTATCTATTTTCCCGCTATATTGAATCAAATAAGACAATCTAGTTTATAAGTATTGAAGTCCTTGATACCGTAATACTTCCTCCCTTTCCCTTTTAATTAACAGACGAGAATGCATTGAAGTCTTAGTCCTATGATGTTTTAGAGCATATAGGCATAATTTGAGTCCTTGTATTTGCTAGAGCACAAGCAAAGAAAGCATGCAGAAATGAAAACAAGAACAAGTAGAAGCTAAGTTATTGCTGCCAAGGCTTATTCAATCATTCAAATTCCACTATGGATAATTTGACTTTGAAGGCTAGAAGTGAAAAAGGGAGGGGATGACTGTTATTCCCAGCTAGACGAAAGGGATGAAAAGAACAAATTGAAAGAGGGAATAGAGAAATGATCATACCTTTTACTCTTCTAGGTTCCACGACGACAAGGTGAATGAGGATAAGCAACCACTATGCCTTCATGACACTCAAAATTTAGGGGGGAAAAGGAATGCCAAATGCCGAAACTAGGGCTGCTTACGGGACGGACCAGGACACCCTAGTCCTGAGTCCCGTCCTGAAAAAAGGACGAGAACATAATTTCTGTCTTGTGTCCCGTCCTGTCCCGGTCCCGATTGGGACAGGGACGGGACCGAGACATCCCATTAAGACCCCGCTTGTTAAAATTAAAAAAAAAAACTCTTAAATCGAAGCAAAAAAGGAGAAAGAGGGAAGCAGCAAAAAATTTCAATTGATCCTTTCCCAATCAAATGAGGCATACTGCAAAAAAAGCAACAGTAAAATTGAATAAAGGAACCCAAATCACTAATCGATCCCATTGCCACTTAAAGGAAGGCCAAAAAAAATAACAAGGAATGAATTTTTTCAACTCAAGCATAACACATGAACATAAAACTAGTCCAGACAAGCAAATTGTTTCAGCGAGCAATTGAGCATATGGGTGTCCTCTCCCTTTTGATCTTTCCATTTGCTTGAATCAACTCGAAACCCATAGTGACTTCTTTTTCCTTCTCCCCTCAGCACCAGACATGAAGAAGAGAGTTGCCATATGAGGAAAGAAGGAGAAATAAAGGAGAAACACAGAGAGATGAGCGTCAAGCAGAGAGACCTAAATGATTGGGGAGTGAGTATTGGGGATGGCAAGCACTGGGGGAGATGAAGAAACTTACATTACCGAGTGGGATGACTGGATCTGGAATGGGGAGTGTGGTGGATGGTGATTTGTTATAGGAGACAGACGCAAATCGCAAGGTAGAACTGGAGTTGATCGTCGATGTTGAGCAAGAGAAGCCACCAGTCGACGCCATAGTGCTTAGATGCTAGGGGGAAATAGAGAACTGGAGAGTAGAAAGGAAGAAGTAGAGACCACGATTCTGCCATTCTGGGGTTAGAATTTTTGAGAGAGTGACAGAGTAAGAAAGTAAAGGGAAAAAATAAAGGAAAGGAGGAAGACTGAATAAATATTAAATAAAACAACAAAATAAAAAATAAAAATAAAGGAACCGGGATGGGACAGGACGTCCTGATGGTTATCTCGCATCCCGTCCTGTCTGTCCCGGTCCCGGTATTATCCCGTCCCAGTTCCATTCGGGACAGGTCCGTCCCTTCCCTAAATGACCAGGACGGGTACAGGACAACTGAGACGGGTAGATCTATAAGCAACCCTAGCCGAAACGGTAGAACTGGGATTTAGTGTAAGGAAGGGGAGTCTGCACGCCTAGTGTTCGCCATCTAAACAGTGCTATTTTTTGTCCCATGTTCTTTTTCTTTCTTTTAATAGGAGTTGCGTTATGTTTCTATTAGGAGTATTCACAAGCCAGTCCAAGTGTATAGAGACAGGATGGGTTTCCATCCTATGTTGTGTCTCTTTTTGAAAATGTCCTGGTCCCAAATAGGATGGGATTAGGGTGTCCTGTTAGTTGAAAAAAAAATCCCAATGTTTTAGAAAATCATAGTTATGAAAAAATTATGTTTTAGAAATAAAAAAGTTACTATCTATCTATTTATATATCCTATAAACGTTGTGGCTGTTCTGTGATTGGTCTACATGGCTTTCATCTATTGGCTCATGTCTTTTAATTGTTTGTTGTGGTTGTTCTGTGATTGGTCCATGTGGCCCTTGTTGTGACTTTTAATTGTTGGTTTTATTGGATTTTTCACTTAAAGTTGAGAGGACGGGAATTTATGTTTTGCTTGTGGCAAGTAATACTTAGGATTATTAATTTTTTGGGAGAGGGAAAATGAGTTTGTGGGAGACGAGCTATGTAATGTATATGAAAATCTAACTCATCAAAGGATATATATATATATATATCTATGAAAAGCAAGCTCGATTACAGTGCAATACGGGAGAGAATGACAGAAATGGTAATCTCAGTCACAAAGGACTGCCAGAAAGGGGATCACAGAATCACAGGAAGAACGAGGGAATATTACACAGAGAGAGAGAGAGTTCAAAACAACCAACAACCCCTCCTCTATGACCTCATCGATATTTATCTTTGCCTTCTCCTTGTGTCTTTCATGCCGTGTTCTCTGGATCTTCCTCAACTTGCCCCACCATTAGGCCCCCATTTGTCTTGGGCTCCCCATTGGGTCACTTTCACGGCCCATTTGTCTTGGGATCATAACATTACTCCCCCCATTAGAACAGACCTTGTCCTCAAGGTCGAGGTGCCGGTACAATATCATGAGTACCTCATCATCTTCCCAAGTGGCATGTGGACAACCATCCCACCAAATTAAGTACTGTTATAGCCATTGTCCCCTAATGGTGTATGAAGCATGATTGTTCAATTGCCGCTAGTTGCCCGATGGGATCTTCATGGACAGATAATAATGGCAAGGGCATCCAAGTTATTGAATGTTTTAGGCCCCCCTTTAAATCCTTCAGATGCAAAATGTTCCAAAAGAATAGCATATAGCCATTTAATCAAATATGGTGGAGATACAGTATCAACGAGGAAACTTGAAACGAAACGAAACCAAAGTGTCTTGGCGATGATTGTGTCCAAGGCAATTACATCGATCACAGGCTCTACATCATTTAAATACCAAGCTCTTTAGAGCATTTCCAGGATCAAACACCAATATCAAAGAAGAAAAAGTAATGGGTGATTGATTCCATGACAGTGGGTTCATTTCCAAAATTGAAATGCTCAAATGAAGTGAGCCAACAAGTGCAAAGAGAACAACAATACCCTTTTCCCTATGACAAGAACCACCATTGAAATAAAGGGCACCGTAGTTGAAGCTAGAAAGTGTCAAGCTGTAATTGATCCTTGCTCGTAAGACCCAGTCAAAAAAATCTAGAATCTTTGTCATTTGTACCAGGTTCAACTGCATATGAACATTGTGATCCTTATAGTTGTGGCAAATATAGTACGAGCTAGTAATAGTGGATCCAGCGTCAAATATTAATTGAATAAACCAACCAATGAAAAACTGGAGCTGCTCAATAAGTAATTCACTCAAATTAATTCCACACCATGAGAACTTTTCTCGGACAGTAAACCAAAACCGAAATGCTTGTAATCTGCAATTCACAAAAAGAAAAATAGGAATACCCGGATCAAACGTCACCCAACTAACCAAACCAGGATTATTCCCATGATAGTAGTCTGAATTGCACCCCATAATGGGCATAACATCAAAGACAGTAAGATCTGTTAGAACCCATTGAAGCTTATATGCCATACTGTGAATGGAAGAGTATTGATAGAATAAAATAGTTAGAATGCAGTCCGATGTAGATACTGATCTCATATCCCATTTAGAAAAATTTCCCAAGGGAAGTTCCAAATGCAGGACAAAATCATACTTGTCTCTCTCACTGTCTCCAAGATTATAATTCTCATTAGCATTCATTGGAATATTCTCAAACATAGTAATCAAGCCAATAGCTTCGATAAGATGCTTTACCCATTCGTTCTTGCAGCCACGAATCTCTGTATCAACATTAGGATTGTCTCTATTTAACTCTGCTCTTAAAAACTCATACGGATTCTCTGTTTCAGCATCCTCTAACATGTATTTAACTGTCATACTAATAGAATCATGTGAATTCATTACTTGTCAGCCAAGTTTTATAAAATTCATGCTCCATAAGTAAAATATTCAGTGCAAATCCAGATACGGACAGCAGCTCGACCTCAGATGATATGAGATCAATAACAAGAACTTTCTTCTCTAGCATTTCCCATGTCCTCAATCTGTTAGAAACAGCAGCAACCAAGTCCACTGTGAAACCCCAGGTACTTTCTCCTTTTCCACCATTAGCATGATATATGCAAGTGGCTTTACAACAGAGTGTAGCAAAAGACCCAAGAATCAAGTTATGATTTCTATTCAAATTCAGTTCAGCTATAGTGTCATTTGAAAGGTGGGTAATAACAGTAACCACGGTGGC